GTATCAACATAGCTCATATACCTTTTTTCAGTGAATAAACAGTAAAGCCAATGATTTAAAATGTGGAGGAGATCAAAACATACTCCTAGACAGACTTCCACATTCATTAAAGTGTCAAAAAAACTAGGTCAACAAAGCGCTCTGAAGTGCTTGTGACAAACCATGATCGGTGCCACACTGTCTGGATACTGACAAGTGCTCACTCGCTCCCCCAAACAAGTATTTGTGTACTAGTAGTACACTGCTTTTATTAGGTGGGTTCAAAAAGTTAACATATTTATCCAACTTCATCAATTAAAATGTCAATACTTTAAGGAAGCTTACTCTTCCTCCTGTTTCTCTCTGAAATTGTTGCTAAATATATAAACAACATGCATTTCAAGTCCGGGAAATCTCTATCAGTTACAGAAGCATGCAGTTCAGCTGTCTGCTAACTGGTCAAAACCACCGCAAGCTGGTCCCTGATAGAATATGACAGCACTCTGAAAACGAGGCACTGCGGACGGAGATAGTGACTGCCAGTTATTTTTAGAAATCTTGCATTGACGTATGTTACAGTTTGTGACGTTATTGTGCAAAAAGGGAAAAACGTGTAATGCTTCAATCTTTTAACATCAGATCTAACATTGTACTGACAAAAGGAAAAAAATTCACTTGCCCGCCGGGCAACTGGACGTAAAATTTACTTGTCCGACAGCAGATTTTAGTTGCCCCGGGCAAGCGGACAACCGTTTGTGTTGAGCCCTGTGATAAAGCTATTTCAAATATAAAATTAACGAAATTAAAATTTTATTAACTTTTAAATGACCTTAGTCTTTTTGTGAACCAGTCCTTAGGAGTAAAAATAATCCACTCATGTTACAATTATACAAAACTTCAAGGACATTAGGTCACACCTCCGAACTTACAACCTCTTCTGCCATGCTCTTAATTTTTTTCCTTCTCCTAGGTGGAGCCACTGGTGCTGGCATTTCAACTGCAGAACGATGCTTGGTGCTCCTCACAATGTCCGGCTCGTTTTCAGAGTCTGAATCCATGCGGACTCTGTCCCCTCCTCCACCTCCGTAGCTACCCTGCTTCGGCCATGTGCCTCTTTTGGCACCATCAGCTGTGCTTGCTCCTGTATGTCTGATGTGAGGTATGGTTTTATTCTTAGCGGAGTTTTTCTCCACTGTTCGAGTCTGACTGTCAAGATTTACATCATCACCTTGGGCAGACATCGAGTTCAGGTCTGGGGAAAAATTCGAAAAACCTGAACCACCAGCGTCACCATGACCTTGACCCGACTCATGACCTTGACCTGACCCATCACCATGACCTGTCAAATCCAAATTGTTTGTAAGTTCATGTATCACAGATTCAACTTTTTCCTGTACATCACTTAACCCTTTATGTATGTCCATCACAATCTCTTTTCTCTTTTCAGCTGTGTCATCTATTCCACCTCCTATTTGTTCAGTTTGGATAGCCACTGCAGCTTCCTCCAAGGTTGCAGCCTTTGTTTCAGATGACCTCTGAGTATCCTTGACCTCACCTTCACCTTCTTCCTCTTTGGATGGAGTAGAAAATGGTGTGCTTTCTTGGTGCATAAGTTTTCTCATCTTTTCTAGTTTCTTCTTTTTGTTTTCTAATTCCAATCTCTTCTCTGCTTCCTGAAATTCAACAAAATTTGATTAAAGGTGGAAATCATTCACTCCAAATGTGTATGTTAGAGAAATGAATGTTATCAAAGGATGTGGCAAAGTTCCACTGTGGCTTGCTAGTTGTCATGTAATATGGTATTTGACTAAAACAGTTTACTTTTCTGGACATTCTTTGCTTACCAAACGCAGTTGTTCCTCCTTTCTTTTCTCAATATCAGCCAGTCGTTTTTGCAACTCTTCATCTTCTTGTCTTCGTCTGGAAAAAATATCAAATATGTCTTTGTCTATCATCTTAGGATACACGCTTGTGTTAGAAATAGATTAATTTGATGACAAAAATTAGCAACTTTGGGCATGAATTTCAGAGGTTATTTCAAACACTGCATAACTTGTGCCACCACATTTTCTTGTTTAAAAAAAATCTGTCACTGTCTAAATTTCTTAATACAAAACTTAAAAGAGAATTTTTATTTTGTTTTACATACTTTTCCTCTGCCAATCTCTTCAATTCCAGAAGCTGTCTCTCCTCTTTCTCTAGATCGTCATCTTTGTTATAGGCTCCACTAATAATAATAAAAATAGTGCAATGAGAACACTATGTATATTCAAATGCTGGGCCTATTAATAGCACACCTCTTCTTCTACAACTGCAGTCCCGGCTAACTTTTCGTGGCCTATTTTTACTATACCTGAAGTTAGTTTCAAACATCTTGGAAATAAACATAGTATACGACCCACATGTTCAAGAGCCACTTACCTCACAAACTTGACAGGAGTGTCCTCTTCTGCATCGTAAAACTCGTCCAACTCACTGTCTGATGACATGATGCTATTTTGCACTAAAATTGTCCCTCGGTTCGCGGTTAAATAGAAGAAAACTGCATGACAGAAATTAATACACCGCCCTCTACCTCCATCTTGGTTTCAGACAACGTAACAGGGAGATCAAAACAAAAACAAATATGTGAAATTAGTTGAGTACTTTAACTCATAAAACATTTATTGCTATCCTAAATGATGGAGAGATGAAATAAAGTTAGGAAAAAAGTTGCATAAATAAAAATATTTCACCTTTGTTGTTTATAATTTTCCCAGCATGCAATGCATGCAAGATGGAGGAGTTAGAAGTGGAGGTGCGCTTTCCGAACGGCGTGTATTATAAGGTAATTTTCTATGTGATTTCAGTACTGGGCCTGAAAAATATCGCTAACCCGTTAAAAGAGAAGACTGAAGCTCATTATCTGGTGTTAGTTAGAAAAGTTTTTTCTTAATTTTGTTTTCTTTATCGGTTTGTTTTGACAAAGGCTAAATACTTTTTTGCAGAAAACTGGTTATCGCGGCTAATGCGGCGTTTTGCTTTCCATCAACAAAATTAAGGTGACTCACTGACTCACCAAAGTCGAGTTTCAAAGTCATTTCTTGCAATGCGTTGCTCATTTGGGCGATGTTTTTATGGTCATTAGATAAATGCCGATTTGTCATTTTAGACTACAGTGTGACAATTTTAGTTTGGTTTCACTTTCATTTATTCCTAGTAACTGTCAAATGTCACAGTTGGACGTTTGATGACGTTTGCATTTACAGAAAGATACACTGCAGAAATATGATAAGTAGATTCCACATTCCAGCTGACCAGTGGTAGTGTACTTATTACTCTTGCAAGTGGTTTGGAGGTTTACAAATCCCACTTGTCAAAAAAGTCCTTCAGCCTTTCCATAAAGAGTTGATAAAGAACTATCTTGCTTTGCCCAAAATGTACCAAAAAATTCTTGCAATCTCAATAAGGTTCTGCTTTTGCACAGGAATATCCAAGGTTTTGTGAGAGGGTTGGGGCACAAGGTTGAAGAATATTTTGAAGCAGGGTGAACATTAACAGATGCAATGTTTTTAAAAAATCAGTTTGTGTGTACACAGACATAGGTGGTGAATTATTTGGTTTTGTCTTCTTTCACTCAATATATTGGGGGGAAAGGCATACCCTTGAAGCTAAGGGGGAGGAACCTCCCTGATGTGACATCCCACCCCCTTGATCCACCTTTGATTCATGTTAAGTAATTTTTATGATTTAGTTAATGAACCTATAAAGAATGTTCTTTATTAAGCTTAATTATGCTTCGAAAATATAAGACTTTGACCTTCAAATTTTGTCATTTGATGTAGTGGGTAGTTTAATTTAGTGTAATTATTTTTCTGACAGATTGAATTTGAATATACTACATTTTGATAAGTCTTTTGTTTAACTGGATCTGACATGCATACTAGTATGTCCTTAAAGGNAAGTTAGGAAAAAAGTTGCATAAATAAAAATATTTCACCTTTGTTGTTTATAATTTTCCCAGCATGCAATGCATGCAAGATGGAGGAGTTAGAAGTGGAGGTGCGCTTTCCGAACGGCGTGTATTATAAGGTAATTTTCTATGTGATTTCAGTACTGGGCCTGAAAAATATCGCTAACCCGTTAAAAGAGAAGACTGAAGCTCATTATCTGGTGTTAGTTAGAAAAGTTTTTTCTTAATTTTGTTTTCTTTATCGGTTTGTTTTGACAAAGGCTAAATACTTTTTTGCAGAAAACTGGTTATCGCGGCTAATGCGGCGTTTTGCTTTCCATCAACAAAATTAAGGTGACTCACTGACTCACCAAAGTCGAGTTTCAAAGTCATTTCTTGCAATGCGTTGCTCATTTGGGCGATGTTTTTATGGTCATTAGATAAATGCCGATTTGTCATTTTAGACTACAGTGTGACAATTTTAGTTTGGTTTCACTTTCATTTATTCCTAGTAACTGTCAAATGTCACAGTTGGACGTTTGATGACGTTTGCATTTACAGAAAGATACACTGCAGAAATATGATAAGTAGATTCCACATTCCAGCTGACCAGTGGTAGTGTACTTATTACTCTTGCAAGTGGTTTGGAGGTTTACAAATCCCACTTGTCAAAAAAGTCCTTCAGCCTTTCCATAAAGAGTTGATAAAGAACTATCTTGCTTTGCCCAAAATGTACCAAAAAATTCTTGCAATCTCAATAAGGTTCTGCTTTTGCACAGGAATATCCAAGGTTTTGTGAGAGGGTTGGGGCACAAGGTTGAAGAATATTTTGAAGCAGGGTGAACATTAACAGATGCAATGTTTTTAAAAAATCAGTTTGTGTGTACACAGACATAGGTGGTGAATTATTTGGTTTTGTCTTCTTTCACTCAATATATTGGGGGGAAAGGCATACCCTTGAAGCTAAGGGGGAGGAACCTCCCTGATGTGACATCCCACCCCCTTGATCCACCTTTGATTCATGTTAAGTAATTTTTATGATTTAGTTAATGAACCTATAAAGAATGTTCTTTATTAAGCTTAATTATGCTTCGAAAATATAAGACTTTGACCTTCAAATTTTGTCATTTGATGTAGTGGGTAGTTTAATTTAGTGTAATTATTTTTCTGACAGATTGAATTTGAATATTCTACATTTTGATAAGTCTTTTGTTTAACTGGATCTGACATGCATACTAGTATGTCCTTAAAGTTTTATGTCAATTTAAGCTTTGTTTTGTAATTTCAGGGATTTGTCAAAGATGTTCTGAACAATGAAGTGGTTTTAACATTTGAAAAGAAGTAAGTTAAAAGATTGGTTATGTTCATGTTTAGAAAAAACTGGGTTAAAATTATTATGGTAATTACTTTATCTTTCAATGGGCAATTATCAAATTTTCAGATGCACAGTTTTATAATCACAAAAATCATATTGCTTTATAGCATTTTTAGTGCTTTTATTGCGTAGAATAGAACTCAATAATAGCCTTTTTAATTTTGTTGCTACCACTCAGTAGGAGTGTTGTAATTTGGAAATTATGACTAAAAATATAGCAGCTGCGTTATACTTAGAGGTAAAAATAATGAGATGAGGTGAGAAATATAGCGGAGTTGGAATCAGATGTAGAAGCTTAACCATGTTAACTTTGCATTCATATACATCCTTTCTAAATCATTCTGTGGTCACAAGTACAATTGTTGCTTTAATCTGATTATTAATTTCTTATTAAAGGAATAGAAAATTATCGAAAAAAAATGAAAACTTAAAATAATCAAATGACTTTTTTTTAAGCAATGATAAATAAATAAATAAATTTGTAATTTGTTGCACAGAAGGGTGCACTCCTTTTTGAGATGAGAAAGTTAGATCTTCATTCAACTGAATATGTGAAGATAGAGATGCTTAACTTGGTCAGTGGATCTGTTGAATCTGTTAAATCACTTGCCAGAGTACAGAATTGCACTTGAACTTGGCCAGTTGGCAAGTGCTTGGGTTTAACCTCTTCCCCACTAGGAAACCACTGAATTCATCAAAAAGCTCAATTCAAAGGCTGGCTTTAACTTTAAAGCTGAAGTGTATCCTTAGTTATCACCAAATTTATGTCTGTAGAAGTGGTAAAAGAGAATATTTAGCTCTTTTGTTTGACAAGGGGAAGGCACAGCTGATGAGTTAGTGTAGTAGTTTTTAATTGCTAGAACTTATTATTCTGGTTTTGAAGTAGATTCACATTATTATTGGGTTCTGAAAGTACCGTAAGACCCACATTTTGACTCAAATTATTTTGCAAAACTAGGAACAGCATGGTGTCAGACTAAGGTAATAGGACGCTCAGTGAGGGCTAAATCTTTGTATAGATTTATAGGAGATAATTTCCTGGAAATTGCTAAATTTTTTCTTAACCTCAAGTTATATTTTGTATCCAAATCTCTTGTGAAAATCAACAAAGTTTATTGACTTATTCCATCCAGAATTGCTGTGAAAATTATAAATTATAAACCCATTTTCGAGGTCTTAATCTTTCTCAGTTTTTTTAAGGGTATACTTCTCAGTATAAAGACCTTACAGGCATTAAGTGACCTAGGAGGAGTGATGAGTGTAAATCAGTTTAAGTGTGAAATTATTTCGGTTATTGAGTGCTTGTTGATACACTAGATGGCCTTGTATGATATATTGAAGATCTTCAATATTATTAGAAAACCCTTATGCGCAACCCCATGTAACCAGAGATAAACAACTTGAGCAGATGAAGCAGATATGCCATGAATCAGATTTGATTAGAATAAGGGATGAATATTGTACACTGTGGGTGCTTGACTGATTGATAAGATACTTGTTTGGATGTACCACGATCCCCTTTGGAATCACTCCTTCCACTGTTTTATGATTTATCTTTTTGTATTTAGTGGAACTTTGAAGTTGTGATAAGATTTGAAGTAATTGAAGAGTTTTCTGCCTAATAATGATAACCTACCGAGAATTCCTCCTTTAGTGTTAAGGAGGTGGTCACTTTTTGGAACAGGTTGATAAAATGAAAATTAAATTAAAAAAAAAAACTCATTATTTTCAAGGGCATCTTCCTGACTGTATGTTTTGGTTGGATTATTTTTGAGCCAAGTTGCTGCAATGTTTAAAGTAGAGAAAAATTACAGAGCTGGAACATTTGTAGACTTGGTTTTCTGTTTGAAACACTTTCACTTTTATCAAGAAAGGTGTGTTTGAAAGTTTTGCTGCTAAAATAAGATCTCGTGTTCAATCTGAGCTTATGTGCTTTATAGGGTGTGTTGGGGTTTGGATAAGGCGTGTTCAAATTCAGAGCCAAACATGCTTAAACCTTAACCAGAAACAGTTTCATTGATGTCAACAATAGCTAAAATCATGTAGTGAAGAGTGAACTCCATTCATTATATTGGTGATATGTGGGACAACGGGGATTGATGAGTGCCCTTCTTTGGTTAGAAATTATTGTCAGATATTGAGACAGAAACTGCACAAAGTTAAAGCATTGGAACAGGACTGGAAATGGGCTTGTTGTTTGGTTAATATAAGACGACTTGTAGCCAGTGTGTATAACCTATATAATGTTCAGTCACTCCTCCACATATTTCTGAACCAT